TGCTTGCTCTAGATGAGCAGTATGATCGGCAAGCCTCGGAGATGAGGAAGTGTCTCCATCGAGCCGAGGAAGCCGAGATCTTCACCCGGATGCTCCAGGTGCAACTTGCCAAAGCGCATGCCAGTGCTATAGCTACTGAGAGCCAGGAGACTGCCATGTCAGAAGCTCTGAAGGAGGCTGAAGACCGACACATCCATCAGCTGGGTGAGGCCTATCTTGTCACCAGGGCCAAGCGGAGGACACTGGTTGAAAGTAGCACAGGTGCTTACATAGAATGTCTGATTGCTTACCACCTGCTTGAAAGTAGCATAGGTGCTTACATAGAATGGTTAGATAATGAACTAATGCACTCCTAATAAAAATTGAATATAAAGACGCACTTTTAGTAATGCTTCATGCAGATGCAATAAACCCACAAGCCAGATAGCCTTGCATATCTTTGGAGTCTTTTCTTTCCTCCTGTCGGGTAAGTCTTGCTAAGTACAATCGAGTACTCAGGGTTTTATTTCCCTCTGTTGCAGGTGATAAGTGGATGCTAGAGCTGACTCTTGTGTGTGGATTCCTCCTAGTGGGCTCAGAGAGGACTTCCTTTATGCTACGATCATAGTTTTTATTGATAACTCTCACCAAATCTTTTATTAAATGAAAGTTTTATAATCTGTTGTCATAGTTTATATATCAATGCTTCATCATGTCATGAATAGATATTTATTTCCGCTCGAATTCTGATAACCTGTTTATATTCCGTTGTTCAATTAAATTATTTAAAATTCTAACAATAAATATTATACTCTGATGTTGTATTAAAAGTGATGTAAGAAATGGTTAAGAATGATGTAAGCTTTATTCCCTCATTTGTGATCCTGATGGAAAATGTGGATTTTTGGGTTCTCTCCTGTGGTGTGCCCGACGAAACTGTGTAATTTGGTGTCCTCCCTTGAGTGCTTAGTGTTTAATGGAAGACAAGCACTCTGGGAGGCATTAGATTAGGCGGTTCTGCCATAGATGAGGAATAGGCGAAGGAACAGAACAGAAGCCCTCTCCCTTCCCCTACTTAAAGAAAGAGGTGCAGCAATTGGAAAGGCACAGCGATTGGGGAAAGGCGAAACGATGGAGGTGAAAAACCCTCTCCCTTCCCCCATTCAATGCGGATGGGTTACGATGGGATGCACCATGACCGATGGAATGGCACCTGGTCAAACGGGACATGGCCTGGGTATGGCCTACCACTACCGCACGTTGGGCGCAAGAAACAAGGCGCCACTGCGCACAGGTGGCTCTCCGCCTTCCTAGGCGGGACTTGGAAAGGCCCAATGATGGGATCTCCGCTAGGAGAGACCAACGGGCTTCCTAAGTCAGTCGGACGGCTCAGGTGAACGCCGAGAGACAGGTAAGAAGCAAAAAAGGGACGCCCCATATGGGCCATGCCGGCTTCGTCACGAATGACGAGCGCACATCCCGGTCGGACATATCCGATAGGAGCTCCTCAAACCCCATCACTCGAGTCATCAAGGTAACATTACCAACCCCACTATTTCTTTCTATGAACATTCATTCATCCATGCACGCATTCATTTATTCCATACATCCAAAAGCATTGCATATGCAGTTAAATGCATCACAACACTCCGTGTTGCGTCACGAAGCGGCGGTTGCCTCATTCAACATGAGCGACGACTGACCGGGGTTCGAAGGCCGGCCCACGAAGGGCTCAAGGCCGCCTCGCGTCAAACAGAGCCAGGGGAGAAAATGCAGATGAGCCCAAGCGGCCCTCGCCCAGTCTACCCCGAAGTAGACAGGGCCATCTCAACCTTCTCGTTCGATCCTAACCTCGAGCCAAACCCATAGAATCTCCATCGAGGGGAGCCCAGCGGGCCACCAGGGTCGGTCTCCGGAATGACCCAGGCATTTGCCGGGTTGCGGGTTAAAGAGCATTGGAGTGCCAAATGAGGGCTATGCCGACCCCATCACGAACAACAGACCCGGACTTCACTCGAACGTGCCCGTTAGCGAGCTCACCGAGCGCGTCACTCGAGCCATCGAGGCAAGCGACGTTAGCTCAGCCCCTCTGGTTACGAGAAACCACGGATGGGGTAACGCACAAAACTCAACCGACCCCTACCAAGCCCAACGGGGCTCAGGGGCTCAAGACACCCAAACGCCTCAGCTGCGCCTGGGTCCACGACTCCGACTCGCCCGATCCCATGGCGTGCCCGAAGCCTGGATCCGCGACTCTGACTCGCCCGATCCCCCGGCGCGCCCGATGCCTGGATCCGCGAGTCTGTCTCGTCTGATCCCTTGGAACGCCCGATGCCTTACTTAGCGACTCCGATTCGCCTGATCCTCGGATCAGTGACTCTGATTCGCCCAGTCCCTCGGCCACGACCAAACGCCTGGGACCATTTTCCTGGAAACGATGGGCCAGAAACTAGAAAAGGGATGCTACGCCCACCAAAGTGCACACACTCACGCCCGCTGACAAAACCTCCCAGGTGATTCTACACGAATTGCCCGGGGGTTCGGGGGCTACACCCGCGGGTGTGCTCGCGCGCACCTGCTGATGAAACAAAACTTTCCCCGATTGGCAACACAAAAAACCCCTAGACGATTCTACTCGAATCGCCCGGGGGCTCCTGTCGGGTTCACAAACCTGGGGTCCCTGATGGACCGGCTTCCCAGCAAAGGCTCGCCCTAGCAGACGATGTTGCGAACGACGCGCAACTCCTGGGCTGGCCCAAATACCTAAACAACAAGCCAAAAGGGCAATCCAATCTCTGACCAGAAGGCCTCGCTAAGGAGGAACAATGCTCACTTCCGACTTCGGCCCGCCTCTCTGACTGGAAGGCTTGGCCAAACACCACTTCTAACTCCGACCCGCGTCTTCGACCAGGGATGCACCGAACCCCTGCTTACAGCTCTTCTCCGACTGGCGCAGTCGGAGCCGATTGGGACCAACCGACTAGGGACGCCCGCTCGATGAGGACCAGGAAACGGATGGAGCAAGTAAGGCAGGGCACTCAAGTCAACCGCAATACCGAGGACTGTACCATGCACACCTGCAGGACAGTAACCTACAGAGACATGTCAGAAGGGTGCCCTACAACCTTCTAGGCATGCCAGAACCCAAGCAGTGTTGTGGGCACCGACATTTGCCCTACAGTGTTGTGGGCGCCATCAACTCCCATATCAGACAGACGCGGAAAGGCTCCCCCACATGTCTCTGGGCATCAACAGTGTTGTGGGCGTCGTCATTTACCATGCGGTAAAACCTCTCACATGCGTCTGACAACAACAGTGTTATGGGCGCCTACCTTCATCTTGTACCCGACGGTGTGAGCAACAAGATTTAGTAGCATACATACTCTCTCTCTCGCTTATAAGGCTGTCCTCTTCATCTATAAAAGAGGATGCGCTCTCTCCCAGCAGGGAGATCCCCAAGTTCACCCACACACAATAGCAGAACCACTAGGTTCAAACCGCGAGCACATGCTCGAACACTTAGCACATAGCGGAGCTCCCGTCATTCTTGGCCCTTCAGACCAGAGTCTGACCGGACCTCTTGTACCCCCTCTTTCTCCCTTTCGTTTGTAACCCCACAGTAAACTTCGAGCACCTAGGCTCAGGAATAAAGTCACCGATCGACTCAAACTGGACGTAGGGCACGTTATCTGAACCAGTATAAACCCTATGTCATTGAGTGATAGGCTACATCCGTTCACAACGTACGACAAAACTATAAGTATTTACGTGTCGGTCATTTTCTACACCAACACTATGTGAATGTATAAATAATCTTGGTTGTCTGTCTATAGCCCTCCTATTTTATATGATAATTGGTTCTGGATAGCTAACTACGATTCCAAGCTAAATAGGAACTTTATTATTAAGAAGGAAGAAGCAAAACCCGATTAGACCATGAAGTCCATTTTTGCATGATGCTGTTCACGCGTGACGGCGTTAGTTATGTTTGGAAAATTTCTGCATGCTGGTATTCGCACAAGTCACATGCACACGTGAAGGAAGGGATTGGAGTTGGAGCCAGAATCCAAGTGTGTCACGTTTGCATGTACGTAATCCTGATAGGCAAAATAGGAAAAGAAGCGTAAACAAAATACAATGACTGATGTTAGTTATTGTTTGATTTGATTAGCTCGATGCAGCAAATTGGTTTTAGATATAGAAGGGGTGTCTTCCTATGGAGTTCAAGTCCGGCTGCTTTACCATGTCCGAGTCCTAGTTGTTTTTTTTTTACTTTAGATTAGTAACAAGGTGTTTGCATATATAATATAATAATAAGATGGCATTTTGCTTCCGTATTTGTGGAGGGGAGGAGCACATCACGGACTCAATTTTGGGTCGTGAAAAAAAATCCGAGTTTCGAGCTGGAGTTTGAACTTGATTTTTGTGACTGAAATCAATATGAATAACAATCAGACTCCATATTATCGCTATTTTCTATTTGAATTAGGATTCAAGATTCATATTTCTTTTCAGTTTATTCGGACTCGGGGAGATCTATTTGTCTAAATTATACCTAGGGTATAAGTCTAGATGGAAGAAATTCTCGACTACCGGTTGTTAGAGGGAGGTGCACGAAAAAATGGATGGACAAAAAAAATAGCTAGAAATTTTGTATCTTTATTATTAGGTATAGATATAGATTATAATTATAAGTCTATATACGGGGCTAGTGGCCTAGCAGACTGTCTACGATGACGCAACCCGTTGTCACCGTTAAGCCTTTGCTTCTTTTGGGCCAGCACAGACCACGCGGTCCGGCCCACAGAATCCAGCTCAACCCTCTTTATCCAGCCCAGAAAAGGCAACCAAATCTCGTTTCTGCCTTTGCCTCCGTGACGGTGCCGTCCGACGTCACCGCGCAGCCAGTCTGTCACGTGTCGCGGCACCACCCGCGCCCGCACGCCGTCGGATCCCCACCCCCACCCCCACCCCCACCCCCACTTCCCGCAGCGCGGCAGCGGCACCTGCCACCAGCGGCCATGGATCTGCTCCCGCCGCCGACTGACGCGCCGGACCCCGGCGGCCCCGGCACCGGGGGGTCGGGCTGGGGGCTGCGCCGCGGGGTCGGGTTCCGGTCGCTGAAGCTGGTCAGCGTTGCCATGGACGAGACCCTGCCCGTCGACCCCGTCGGCGCCACCTACGGCCGCCTCGCCAACGGCCTCACCTACTACGTCCGCTCCAACCCAAAGCCACGCATGCGCGCCGCGCTCTCGCTCGCCGTCAAGGTCGGGTCAGTACTGCTACTCTCGCCGCGCCTCTAGTTTGGCTCTCCTATTTACCCCCTTCGAGCGTTTGCTGACTTTCATGTCGTGCTCATCGCTCGGTTGGTTCGCTCTTAGGTCGGTGGTGGAGGAGGAGGACGAGCGCGGTGTGGCGCACATCGTCGAGCACCTCGCCTTCAGTGCCACCTCGCGATATACCAACCACGACATCGTCAAGTTCCTCGAGAGCATCGGGTCCGAGTTTGGTGCCTGCCAGAACGCGCTCACCTCATCGGATGAGACCATCTACGAGCTGCTCGTACCCGTCGACAAGCCAGGCCTGCTCTCCCAGGCTATATCTGTCCTCGCTGAGTTCAGCTCAGAGGTGACTACACGGTTGCAGATTCTTATTGCTAGCTTTGTTATTGCAATCTCAGCTGATTGATGCCTGAGAGTACAATGGCTGATTGATGCATGCCAGAGAGTTCAATGTCTGATTTATGCCTGGAAACTAATGTTGGTCACAACTCACCAGGTTCGGGTGTCAGCAGAGGATCTGGAGAAAGAGAGGGGTGCTGTGCTGGAGGAATACAGGGGTGGGCGCAATGCAGCAGGACGGATGCAGGACTCCCACTGGGCACTGTTGTTTGAAGGTTCTAAGGTACTAGCCTCTGTCTTCATATAAGTGAAAAATTCTGTGTGCTGCAATGAGATCACTTGTTCCATCTACCATTTGTTCGTATAAATGAAAAATTCTGTGTTGCGATGAGATCACTTGTTCCATCATATACTATTTGTCACAATAGGTTAAACTTGCATTACTGAATCAACAACAAAGCCTTTCAGTCCCAAGCAAGTTGGGGTAGGCTAGAGTTGAAACCCACCAAGAGCCCCAAGTTACGGTTCAGGCACTTCAATAGCTGCTTTCCAAGTACTCCTATTCAAACATAGATCTCTAGGTATATCTAAGCTTTCAAATATCTTTTTATTGTCTCCCTCCATGTCAATTTCGGTCTTCCTCTACCTCTCCTCATATTATTAGCTTGACTTAGGGCTCCACAATGCACTGGTGCCTCTGGACTCGGTCTTCCTCTACCTCTTCCTCTACCTCTAGGCGATCACGTATATCATCGTTCCGAACTCGGTCCATTCTTGTGTGACCTCAAATCCATCGCAACATACGCATTTCTGCAACACTCAGTTGTTGAACATGTCGAATCTTTGTAGGCCAACATTCTGCTCCATACAATATAGCCGGTCTAATCGCCGTTCTATAGAACTTGCCTTTTAGCTTTTGTGGTACCCTCTTGTCACAGAGAATGCCAGAAGCCTGTCGCCACTTGATCCACCCTATTTTGATTCTATGGCTAATGTCCGCATCAATATCTCCATCCCTTTGTAGCATCGATCCCAGATACCGAAACGTATCCTTCTTAGGCACTACTTGACCTTCCAAACTCACATCTCCCTCCTCCTGTACAACTCCACCAAAGTCGCATCTCATGTATTCGGTTTTAGTTCTGCTCAATCTAAAACCTTTAGACTTAAGGGTCTGCCGCCATAACTCTAGTTTCCTATTTACTCCCGTCTGGCTTTCGTCCACTAACACTACATCATCAGCGAACAACATACACCAAGGGATATCCCCTTGTATGTTCCTGGTAACCTCATCCATTACCAAGGCAAAGAGATACGGGCTTAAGGTTGACCCTTGATGAAGTCCAATTTTAATCGGGAAGTAATCTGTGTTACCATCATTTGTTCGAACACTAGTCACAACATTGTTGTACATGTCCTTGATGAGGGTCACGTACTTTGATGGGACTTTATATTTGTCCAAAGACCACCGCATAACATTTCTTGGTATCTTGTCAGGTTTGAAACTTGCATTACTGAATGTTGTTATGAATAAAGGGAGACTGAACTGGATTGTGGCATTGAGGCCTGATAGGGGGACTATATATAGAATACATGGGGATACAGGAGAGAAACCCTTGACTAGGGAGATTCCACTTTTCCGTGGCGGGATACGTCTTATGGTGCTTAACTTTGGATTACCTTTTTCTGCCTTTTGTGTGACTCTGTTTGGGGTTGAAAATGGTGTATTCTTATTAATGTACTCTTTACCAGTATGCAGAACGCCTGCCGATTGGTACTGAGAAGGTGATACGAACTGTTACACATGAGACTGTGAAGCGGTTTTATCAGAAATGGTACCATCTAAGCAATATGGCGGTATTTGCAGTGGGTGATTTCCCAGATACACAGGTTTGGATTATGCACATCTTTTTCACATGTATCTGTTCGAGAAATAAGAAACTAGAGGTATGTATCTGCAATGGTATTTACCATTCTTTATGTTTGATGACTTAAAATTGCAGGCTGTTGTGGAGTTGATAAAGGAGCATTTTGGGCACAAAGCCCCAGCTCCCCACCCTCCTCCAGTTATACCAGAATTTCCAGTTCCATCGCATGAGGAACCTCGCTTTTCATGTTTTGTGGAATCTGAAGCCGCAGGGGTTGTTATTTCATATTCTTTTAAACAGATTTGATATATTTTATTAAGATCAGCTTTGTATAATAATATACTTTTTTGTTTTCCTTTGTACCAAAAACAGTCGGCTGTTGTTATCAGCTGCAAGATGCCTGCTGGTGGAATTAAAACAGTAAAGGACTACAAGGATTCACTGGCAGAGTCCATGTTTCATTGTGCGCTAAACCAGAGGCTCTTCAAAATATCTCGTAGAAAGGATCCTCCTTACTTCTCTTGCTCCTCAGCTGCAGATGCTCTCGTCTGTCCAGTTAAGGCTTACATTATGACATCTAGTTGTCGTGAAAGGGGAACAGTTGAAGCTCTTGAGTCCATGCTTCTTGAGGTATTTTTGAACCTTGATCTCTGAAAGAATAAAGATAAAATCTAGTATTCTTTCATAGTGCACTATTCAAGATTATGAGTGAATATTCAGTGTGAGTGCCACAAAAGTTGAAAAAACTAAAGAGTGAGAAATTTGGCTCTAATAGCTTTAGAAGTTTCCTAAGGAAGCACCAACTATAGGGCATGATACGTTTCATAGCCATGCAGTCTGTCAACATCAGATATTAATCATGTCTTTGGGACAAATACCAAATGAAAACAGGTCATGTTCCTTAAGGGTAGTTTTCATTCCCAGTAAAACCCTTCATATATAGTAGTATAAGAACACATAATCTAGTGTGCCATGTCATCAACTGATTAGATCTTGTACAATTAGTTAAATCTTAGACTCTTAGTTTGCATCTGTTTAGTGTGGCAGATGATTGATAATTAGCACATTAACAGGCATATGTAATGTAGATATCTGAATTTAAGGCTGCTGTATAACCACTGCCACTTTCTCCAATTTCAAAATGGCATTTTGTTTCAAAACATCCTTCTGACAGGATGCTTCTTTAGGTTGCTAGGGTACGGCTCCATGGATTTTCTGACCGTGAGATATCCATTGTACGCGCCCTAATGATGTCAGAGATGGAGTCTGCATATTTGGAGCGTGATCAAATGCAATCAACCAGCTTACAGGATGAGTTTTTGCAGGTTTGAAATTTTATAGCCGTTTAATACAACTAAAATAAAATTAAATTTATATCATATGCATGCTAGTTGCTCTTCAGTTCTTATCTCATCTTGCAAATCAAAATATGTACCACCTTCTGAATTTCTGTTTTCAAATGACTTTACTTCAATAATATTGACTTGTACTAAGTCCACAATTCCACATGTCGGTCGACTATTTAAGTGAAATTTCAGGATCCCCCATCTATACAGCTTCTAAGCACATTAATGCAATTTATATTTTTCTTGCAGCATTTTCTTCGTGAAGAACCTGTTGTTGGGATTGAATATGAAGCACAGTTACAAAAGACTCTGCTTCCCCGTAAGCATACCTCTGTGTTGCCTAGTGTAAAAGCTTAGGTGTTAAATTCCTGATGTTATTTACCCTCTCCCTCATAAACCTTTATAACCAATTAATTTCTTATAAATCTACATACCGTCACCACAGTTGTTTAGTCATCTATATTTATATATGTTTACTTTCGACCAGATATTTCTTCTGCAGAAGTGGCAAAATTTGCAGAAAACTTTTCAACAGCCAGCAGCTGTGTTATCAAGATAGTTGAACCTCGAGCTCATGCTTCTTTGGAGGATCTGAAAGCAGTTGTGTTGAAAGTCAACAGTCTGGAAGAAGAAAAATCTATTTCTCCATGGGATGAAGAACAAATTCCTGAAGAAATTGTTGCCCAAGCTCCAGAGCCAGGGTATCTTTGTCTCCTTCATGTGTACTATTTTCATCATTATCTGAATTTACCATCTTCTCATTCTTTGATTCTTATAAATCTTAACTAGCTGTATTGAAACCATTCTCTACTTTTTCTTTTGCTGTTTGAGGATTTTATTTTAGTATGTGACTGATTACCGCTATTTACCAAATTCATTGTAGGACTATAATTGATAAAGTGGAGCACCCAGGCATAGGTGCCACTGAGATGATACTTTCAAATGGCATGCGGATTTGTTACAAGTATACTGATTTTCTTGATGACCAGGTTAGTAGTATCTATTAATTTTATGTCACCTTGCAGCCTGCTACTTCAGGCATTCCCATCTTTACTCTGTGGAACCACTTAGTCACTGATATAGACATCTAGAACTAGAATACATTTTGACCAATTTATTCTATGAACATCAACTGCATGCCACACTCTATATCCGTATTAGGTTTTTCTCCATGCCTACTATCATTTACCACATACATGGAATAGATCTGACGGTGCTTAATTCTAAGTATTCTGGGATTCTGAGGACTACAGCTACATTTGTTGGTCTTGGGATGTTTCTAAATCTAAAGTTGAAAAAAACTAACCTAGGAGGAATTAGGTGGCATTTTATTAAGAAAAAAATAGGCACCTAAATTCACCTTGACGAGGACTTGAATCTAGGTGGTCTGGGCATACATCCACACCCTCAACCAACTGAGCTAGCTCAGCTTCCTAAATCTAAAGTTTAAATATGATGATATGTTGTCAACCTGACTCTATTTACAAGGGAAGTAATTGTCAACATGATTCAGGGTGTTTTCGCTGTTAGACTGAAATATATTCATCTAACAATAATAATATAAAAAATATAGTTTCCCATTTTTTTATGATGAGTGAACAGAGGGAAGTAGCCTTAGATAGGAGTGCTTGGAAAACAGCTATTTACATGCCTGAACCTTGATTGCTTCTGCTGGGTTTCAACTCTAGCCTACCCCAACTTGTTTGGGACTTTAAAGGCTTTGTTGTTGTTGTTGTTGTTGTATAGTTTCCCATTTTTTTATGATGAGTGAACAGAGGGAAGTAGTTTGTGTCTGCCCTAAAAACAGCTTGCATGTTCATTTGTACTTCAGTTTAGCATAATCACATGAATCTATTGTATTTGCACATTGAATAATTGTTTCACAAGAACTAAATTTATGCATATCGTAAAAGCAAACTACAACAGGTTTTTTTTTAGATGTATAACCAATAGTGCCAAGCTTTTCCTTGTTCCTTGAAGCTCTCAAGGCACTTTATTTTTCATTATTGTGATATACTGAAGAAAAGATCAAATAAGTGACCTGTACATGAAATTTAGAAAGGAAGAAACATATGCAATATTAAATATAGACGGGAAGGGAATAGTTTCATGAATAGCTATCTAATTACCGTGTGAACTTATCACTGTATAGAAACAATAATTTACACATTTATTGTAGGAACAACAATTTACCCTTACTTTTTCAATATTTTTCGACCAAGTTCACTGTCCTTTAGTTAAAGAAAACTGCATCTGATACTGTCATTTTAACTTCATTTGGTCTGTTCTTGGTCTATTATTGTGAAAGGGCACCTTAAAAAAAAACGCAGGAGAGCTGCGTTTCATTGTATTAGAGAGATGAAATGGCACTTTTGAATCAGGAAATTAGTTCATTTATTGTATTACATACAACTTTTAATTCATCCTTAAGATATCATTTGTTCTCCCAATGCATACTGTCATTATAGTAAATTCCCAGTCTAGTTTTCCTTGGGTCATTTATCATTTTGTTCAGAGAGGTGCATTTACAATTTTGCTTCTGTTGCAGTATTTAGTGATATACTTCATGTGTTTATATGCTTATTATTTATTTTCAGGTTGTTTTTACTGGCTTTGCCTATGGTGGTCTGTCAGAATTATCTGAAGCTGAGTATACTTCATGCTCAATGGGTTCGACCATAGCAGGAGAAATTGGCACTTTTGGCTACAGACCTTCTGTCTTGATGGACATGCTTGCTGGCAAGAGAGCCGAAGTTGGTACAAAAGTGGGGGCCTACATGAGAACATTTTCTGGCGATTGCTCACCTTCAGATCTTGAGACAGCTTTGCAGGTATGCTTCTGTTAAAGCATTCTTAGATACATGCTCAATTCAACACAAAGAAACACAGTTTACCTATAGCGATAGCAGCACCTGTTTCCTTTTTTCATCAAAATGTGGACCTATGCTTATACTTGACTGCGTACAGCTTGTTTATCAACTATTTACAACAAACGTGGAGCCAAGGGAGGAAGAAGTAAAAATAGTGATGCAAATGGCAGAGGAAGCAATCTATGCTCAAGAGCGTGATCCATACACTGCATTTGCGAATCGTGTTCGTGAAATAAATTATGGGAACTCATACTTTTTTAAGGTACTTAACTGCGCAAAACTTTACTCAGTTTTTTTCTTTTGTCATATCATATCCTAGAAATTTACTTTAGTTCTATATAATGCAGCCAATTAGAATAAGTGACTTGAAGAAGGTGGATCCAATCAGAGCATGTGAATATTTCAACAATTGTTTCAAGGATCCATCAGCTTTTACGGTGGTAATAGTTGGAAAAATAGACCCAGCTATCTCACTTCCACTGGTTCTGCAGTACTTGGTATGTTCTGTTCCTTTTTCTTATTGTCTGAAACAATGAAGCAACACTTAATAATGTTCATTAACCCAACTTTTTTTAGGGTGGAATACCTAGGGTACAGGATGCTACTCAACCACTTAGTCGTGATGATCTAAGAGGATTGCCATTCAAGTTTCCTGCAACCATCATTAGGTACTCCAGTGTTCTGTTTTGCATTTATATGCTTTGGGAGACTTATCTGTATATGTTTGTGTCATACATGCACATGCAGAGCTAAGCAAGCAATCTTTCTTTTCCCTGAATTATGCCTTTTTTATTACTGATAATCTTAGTGTACACCTTGTTTCCAGAGAAGTTGTCCGCAGCCCTATGGTTGAAGCACAGTGCTTTGTACAACTGGCATTTCCTGTTGTTCTTAAGAACACAATGATGGTGAGTACTGACTACTGAGTAGCAACCGAAAGAGTCTCATTTTTACTGTTAATGATGAAGTGTTGTATCTCCCATATTAAGGTATTATATTCTTCTATTTGTGTAGACAGAAGATATTCACTATGTTGGGTTTCTTAGTAAACTTCTGGAAACGAAAATCATGCAAGTACTTCGCTTCAAATATGGGCAGGTTAGGAATATCAATCATATGCAAATCCAGGTTGGGAATTCCTTAAACTTGGAGTTTAGAATCTGGGTTTCCTTAAACGAATCCTTATGTTATGCAGATCTATTCAGTTAACGTAGCTGTCTTCTTGGGTGGCAACAAACCCTCAAGAACTGGAGATGTTCGTGGAGACATAAGTGTGAATTTCTCATGTGATCCAGACATATCATCTAAACTGGTATGTCACATCAAGTCATTACACATTTTGGAATACATATATCCAATTGTTTTTTATGCAGCTTGAGTTTACTGACTCAGAATTTCTTCAGGTTGATTTTGTTTTGGAGGAGATATCATACCTACAGGTGGAAGGTCCTTCTGAAGAAGATGTATTGACCATCCTCGAAATTGAACAAAGAGCTCATGAAAATGGATTACAGGTTTAGTTGAATCCGTAATGCTCCAATTAGTGCTGATGCACATAGGTAGCCATTACTTTAGTTACAGCTCTTTGCATCTTTTACAAATTGCAGGAGAATTACTTCTGGTTGGATCGTATTCTGCGGAGCTATCAATTAAGGCTTTTTTCTGGAGATATTGGATCCACCGTTGCGGTAATACTGATTTTCTTTTTTCTGGTTCAGTGCTCTAGTATGTGTACTTCATTTTCCTGCTGACTTTTCAGTTTAAGGCAGCAAACATTGATCAGTAGATCCATATGCTTGTAGCTTTTTAGCTGCATTACAAGCAATGCTGTTGACTGTTACACATGCTTGGCAGTCTGCCTTTTTGTTTTACAGTGAACATCACATTTGAAATGTTGCTCCTTTGTTTTTCTTTGTGCAGTTCCAAGAGGAGGGGCGCATAAAGGTTAGGGATGCTTTGACGCCACAGACTATGCAATCGGCCTTGCAAAGAGTTATACCTTTCCCTTGCAGAAATCAGTACACTGTGGTTATTCTTATGCCAAAGTCATCCTGTTGGGCGTCATTGAAGTCAATGCTTAGCTGGAGCTCTAATGGGGTTAGCAGAGATGCTAAGGTTCGAATCAAAGTTTTCATTTATTTGCAACATCCTATTCTCTTTTCAGCATGCTGAGCCTGAGAACCACTTCCTTGCAGATTCTTGCTGGCATGGCTGGTGCACTGGTGTTGGCAGTGAGTTTGTGGAGATACTCTCGTAGTGCGCTAAAATCATAGTGTCTGATATACAACTAACCGTTTTTTGGCTTCCAGACAGATCTGAAAATGGATCAGGTTAGGAACTGATATATGAGCTGTCAATAGATATTTGTTCTACCTGAGCACCTACCCGGTGTTTGGAGATTGGTAACAAAAGAGGCCACATTGTGACAAAATTGGTAGCTAACAGATTCATTGCCGCATGTGTGGTTGTACCGCCGCGCATGTGCATTAGTCGTCGGTGTATAATAATGGCTACCCTCCCATTTGATTTCATAGGCAGGACTGAAGTAGTGGCAACTGTGGTAGAATGGTGGAAACTGGAAACCCAACATTGTAGATCGCTTTACTGGTCCCATTTCTGTGGACGGCTTTGTATCTGTACGTGTTTCTGATGACCCAGAATATGAGGGGAAAAAAATAGAATGAGCAGGAAATGTGATATTTCTTTTTGCTTGTTTCCGGGTTTTCGTACTGGCTAGGACAGCGTCCGAGCATGGGCAGGCGTCTTGATTTTGCCAGAATGTATAATATTGTCTGTCCGTGGTGGTTTTATTTCTCTCTGATTCGTTTCCGGAGCCAACAAAGATTAGCTTAACTTGAGGCAGCTGAATCTGACAGCTCTGATGTTGGGATTGCTATGGCTGTGCCGAACACCCCCATGTGTATGTCTGGCTTTACTGTTCGTGTGCATTATTTGAGCCGAGCCGAAACGTGCAATCATCCAAGGCTACAGTAAAATGGCTGCAAAGTCCAGCGTCTGATTTGTACCCCTTCGGAAAAAAGTGACACGTGGGAACAGCACGAGACTACACGGGCCCTCACGTACAAGTTTCGGATAAGTCTCCCAAAGCACGAGACGGTCCCACGAGGCGCGCCGACCAAAACACACCGGAGGTCCCCACGGCACGACGGACGGAGTACGGAGAAGAATCCCTCTAGACTCCTCTGCAGCCCCCGCGAGGCCAAAAGAGCAGCGGAGGCAGGCAAGCAAAGCAATCAGCCCACCTATGTACGCGCCCCCACTCTAGGAGGAGTCGCAAGGAGTCCAGACTCCGGAAGCTGACAAGACGAGAGCAAATCGAAGCAGGACACGGCTGCTGGCGGCCGCATTCGGTCGGGGGAGGAGGAGCACGAGGAGCCATGGGCGCCTGCCTGCACGATCACAGCTGCGAGGATCACAACTGCGCCGCCGACTGGTCGCTCTACAACCACATCGACGTCCCCAAGGTCCTGTAATCCTCCCCACTCCCTCTCACCTGTTGCCAGATTGATCCGCTGCCCCCTTCCTCCCTCCTTATTGTGCCTTTGTTTTCGACCGGCTTCGTAAGATTCCGTTGGTACCACGCGGCGCATCGGATTGTGCGACAGTATACAGTTCAATAGGCGGTGAACAAGGATTTAGGGCGGCGGCTGACCCCTTCTCGTGCGCGCAGGTGGTGGCTCTGAACGAATCTGTGCCCGGGAGCGTCAAGTCTGTCTTCAAGCCCTGGGAGCAGCGCCTTGACACCTCGGGGGTATGTACCAATGCCTCCTCATGTCCACGTTGCCTTAATTTTTTTAGTGGAAGCTAGGGTTCACCTGCTCAGTTAGGAGATGCAGAATGTGTACATCTAGTTCAGGAACCACTAAGAACAATTGTCCTTTTCTTATTACATTAGGACTTAGGAGTGATAAATTTGTAATGACCTTTTCTTCCTTTGTCGAAAATGCATCTTCTTGTGATCTAAAATCTCCAAAACGAAGGCATATCTAGTGAATTATCGTCATCTGTGAAATATGGCTCGTGTTTAAGAATCATACTAGATTAGCTGTCACTGCCAATTTACCTTCAAAGTTTTGTATATCTTTTGACTTGTAAATACAGTCATATCTGTGTAACTATTCATGATTCTATTACGCGTTGTTTGGTTTGCTGCACGAAACCAGTCCGTCCGTCACCAGCGCGTACATTCTACTAGCATAAAAGCAGCATCGATTGATTCTCCCAGAAACAGTCGGACGACACGATGCCGCACGTACTGATGCCGGACGGGACTGCTCCTCAAACCAAACAGGCTATTAGTATACGAGGATTACCCCTTTTTAAGGGGGTAAAATGTGTGTAAAGCTTTAACGAGAGTAGCCATATGAGACACAGAATAGGAGAAATGTAAGTGGTAACTAGCATGTCTGCATCTGCAGTATGTTCTTCATTGAACGGTATAGAGAAGTCATAATTCTTCCCGTTGAGATCTTATTATAGATATATTAATAACATGGGTTGCAGGGAGCTTCATTTGCTCATGCAAGCTAATGGCAGTATGATAGACATTGATGATGTGTTCGCATTTTTTTGGGGGAAATTGCTTGTATAGCACTCTCTCAGAATTGTTTTGCAAACATACCACTGCATGAGCTTAGGTTACTATTTAGCACTGGTTAGTGTCTCCGTTTTGTTCCATGTAGCATTGCAGCATCCGATTGTGCATGGATGACGTAGATCTTCCCAAGATGCTCCACAACCGCTAATTTCTCTCTCCTCTCAATTTTTGTCACCGCAGCAACACGGCCAGCCAGGGGCTCCCAGCATCGCCCTTTGCCGCCAGTATAGAGGCTCATTCTCCTTGTCTCCTGCTTCCTGCTACCTCTGCACCTTCCTCCCCTCTCTGTCTCCATGTTCATCCTCTATGCTAGCTGCCCTACTCATGGATGATGGGGCCTGACCTACTATGGCAGCCATGGCCGTGCAGGAGTGGGTCAAACTTTACACAGTGCCAGGGTGTTTGTCCCTTGGTGAGGCTGCACTGCGCTCATTGAAGAGACCACATACTAGATCCAGAATATGCAGAGCAAATCAGTTGGGGCCTTGCATGAATTGTGTGGCTGCGGAGCGAATCAAGCTACAATTGATTCTGTTGGAGGCTCCTTCATGATTGCTTGCTGCTCTAGCATGCGGGATTGACAGCATGGTATGAAGCGAAGGTGGGAACTTGGGGCTTGGTTTAACTGCTGTGGTAGTGGTGGACTAAGCTGGAGAGGAAGGAGGAACGGAAGGAGTGGTATCACAGGGGAAAGCCAAGTAACTAAACAGTGCTAAATAGTAAAGTAGACTTGGAGAGTGGTATGTTTTCAAAACGGTCTGGAAAAAGTGTTATACAAGCAAGTTTCCCTTCTGTATTTATATAATTAGTGATTTTTCAGCTCAGATCCTGTTCCTTAAGTTCCTCATCATTGGTAAAATCTGCATTCTCATGAGCATTCTTGCTGCACCAGGGTTTTCTGGAGAGTAATGAGGGTGACCCTGAGCTACTTATTTTCATCCCGTAAGTAGCTGAAGTCACTTGCTCGTTTAATGTATATACACGTGCTCCCCAGTTGTTACTTGTTTTCCTTTATTTTATTTTGAATGAGTAATTCTAAGTTGCTTCATAACTTCTAGTTGAAGTATAGCAACATGATGAAGTGTTTTTTTTTTAAATAATTTCCTCAAACATAAGATTGCCTGAGGTAGTATTCAGTTTATGAACTACGTGGTGTTTCAGGAACAAGTATATTTATTATATGGAATAGTTTATCAGTTTTTTTGCCCTTTTGTATTGTGATTGTTCTCAACAGACAACAGTTCACTCCATGGCAGTGCTCAAACATGTTGTACTTATCAATATTTATTATCCTCTCTCCCTTATTTTAATCTTTTGGTGGTTCGGTACTCAGCATTAAGCCATTAATACTAGTAATACTTCTTTCAGAGGTTTAATACCCACATACCCAGAAATAATTTGTTGAATTGATATCTGCAGAACACATGTCAATCTGTACTTTCAGGACTTTTAATTATGTCCTTTTTGCACATCCTTCCATCAATTTTGTGAAATATCCTAATTCCTAAGGAAACGAGAATGTTTCTTTTTAGTGTGTATCCCCTTAAAGCATCAGGCACTAACATGTTAAGTTGATATTGCATGCCCATGCAGAAGTTACTTCTTCAGTCTGTATGTATAATTGCATTGAATTCATGACCTGCATGAATTTCTGTATGTTGATATTTCAGTTTTGGTGGAATATATCCTTATTTGGTTTCAGAGCTAAGAAATACCTTCCCCTTCTTTTGTCTGTAATTCTCATCCAAAAAATGTTACACGTGTAATCATGTTTTCCTGTTGGTTGTAGGTTCACATCCGATGTTAAGATCAAGAGCATTTCTGTTGTTGGTGGTGCTGATGGAACAAGCCCGTCAAGAATGAGAGCGTTAGTTTTAGAGAGATAGCTTTTCTTTTCCTTGTCCTTCTCTTTCTCATGGCATGATATTTATGAAGATTACCTTGACATGATCCAGGTTTATCAATAGAGAAGGCATTGACTTTTCTGATGCTCAAAACATGCAGCCTGTGCAGGTATGTATTAAATTTTTTTTTCCTCATCCGTGCCATAAGTGGAAACTCCACTTTGATGATGTACATTTCTCCTAGGAATGGGAATTAGCGGAGAACCTGCAAGGAGCTCTTGAGTACCAAACAAGGTATGTTCTGTTTCTGTAATTGTTCATCACTTCATCCAGTGCCCTTTACTTTTGGTAACAGATAAATATTTTCTGTTAAATCACGTTCTTAGAGCTTCAAATGTCTTTCTGAACATATGTTCCATTTGATAAACACTCATAAAGCTAGTGATAGACTCAAATTCATTAGATTTTTGCCTTGATCCTGTGCAAATTAATAGACATTTTGCATGTAGGTACTGGACTACTCTAGGCCACTTTTGTTTTTTCTCTGTCTACTGAATGGCTTGTAACTACTCCCTCCATTTTTTATTGCATGTCATATTAGCTTTGTCGTAAGTCAAACATTTGTATCTTTGACTATTGATTTTTTAAAAAAGTATATAGATTCATGGCATAAGTTTTATGTTTTTAGATTCACTATGAGAATACTGCCATAATATATAATTTATATATCGTGAAACTATAAGAATTTTTTGAAGTAGGTGGTCAAAGTTAGTAATGTATGACTTAGGACAAAGCTAATGTGACATGTAAAAAACAGAGGGAGTAGTATGCTCTTAAGTTCTCTTTGTGGTACACGGAATAATTTCTCATTTGCTCTTCATACCTTTCTCCACTGTTTCTCAGATATTCAAGGTTCCAAGGTGTGGCTAACCTGACTCTGCATTTCTCTGACAACTTTGGTGGTGATACAACTAAGATTTATTACATTGGACTACGTGGTGAAGCCACTCAGGTACTTAAGTTTTGTTTCGCTATTTATGTATAATAAAGAAAAAACATAGTGGAACGCCATACTGATTCTTGATTGCTTCGTACTGCTTGTCCCAGAACAAAAGGGATGTAGTTGCGACAATTGTATATGAAGTCATGCCCAATCCTTCCGATCACAAGTAAGCCAATATTTGAGCTACTTAATGTTTCACATCAAGTCTCCTAGTGTTGATTATAGTACAGTTGCACAAGGGAAATTTGACGCCTTATAATGTTGTATGACCTAAATAGTTTCTCCAGAGTCAATATCCCTTTAGCTTTAAGAAGTGTTCAAGTTAGTGATTTTGCTAAGGTGCCTCAGAATAGGAAGAGAAGGTTCTTAGGTCCTATAAAATTGTTCCAGTCTTCCAGCAGGCTTAAAATCGTATCCTTCTTGAAGCACACCTCTAGGTGGTAGGTGGAGCTGCTGGTTCCTTTCTAACCCTAATTTCCATATTGTTAAATCAACCTGCATCATTTGACTATTCTACTTCCTCTGTTCCAAATTATATTCACTTTGGTTTTTGTCCTAAATCAAACTTCTTTAACTTTGACCGAGTTTATAGAAAAATACACGAACATCTATAATATCAAATTTGTTTCCTTAAATTCTCCATGTGCATTTATTTGAACTTTAAGAAGTTAATATTTTTCAAAGTATTTGCCAAAGTTAGAGATGTTTAACTTAGGACAAAATCTAAAGTGAACTATAATTTGGAATGGAGGGTTAAACATTTAAACTGGGAGTTTACAAAGGGAATAAATGATCATCTTTGACCCATCTAACTGCTGAGTGCTAGCGATAAGGATATTTTAATGAAAATGGTTTGCTTCACTCATTCTTAACAAGTGATAACACTTTAGCTTGTCGTGCTGGCAACTGAGGCCAGGTGTGATCCCGTTTCTCTCTCCCGTGCAGAACAAAATCTGAGACTGGAGGAGGTTTCTCGCATGTCGAGTAGGCATCATACCAGGTGAGGCATATCTGCAGTTCCAAAGCATACAAGCTGAATTTCTCGGCTGATGATACTAGCTTGCCTTCTTTTTCTCATTTCTGTTTATTTTCTAACAGTTGGGTATGCATCCTCAGCAGGCTTGAGAAGCAGAAGCTGGGTACTGCGTTGCCTGAAGGCAAATTTGAACCTCGCTTCCCATCAATCAATAAGATAAATAGATAATCCCAGCTGGTAGACTTTTAGCTTGACTTTTGAGCACATAATTCTGTACCTGCGGACGCTGTAACTGGTTTGCTAATGCTATCATCAGAGTTGGTCGCTTGTGTTGTTATCTTATTTCTGGTAGCTTTATTCCATTTTCCTGAAGCGGTTATCGTAGATATTTCTCCAGTGTGATCACGCAAACCCTTGCTGGAGCCGGAAGGTACTGAATTCCAATACAAGTGCTAAGCCAACTTAGTCGGAGTGGCCATTTATTTAAATAATCTGCCTGAACAGCCATCTAGTGTCGATACCGCGCTTGTGCCTGTACTTGGGCGTTCACTTAAATTAGCGGAACATGTGACGTCGATGTGTGCCACGTAATATTTGACGCATTTGAATTTGAAACTAGTACAAGAACGAACAGCTTTAAAACAAGCCAACTTACGATTGCGACACGAATTTTCTTTTGTTAAGGATTGCAACGCATTGAAAGTACGTTTGGGAAATACGTTTCCATTGAAGACGGCAGGACGTCTTCTCATGCGGACGCTCCTTTGTGCATCCGTGTCCCAGCCCAATAAACCTTCCGTGTCCATCTCTTTTGTTGACCTATTGCTTGCCTCTGCTCCACCGCTCGCCCCGCTGCTCTTGCTCCTGTTCCGCGTGCTACTCATACCGTTGCTCCTGCTCTGCTGCTCAACCTGCTGCTCATGTTCCTGTTCCGCGCGTCCGTCCCGCTGCTCCTGACGCTACTCTTGCAATACCGCCCGCTTCGCCCTCCGACGCTGACAAGCACCGCCAGTGCAAGGAGAAGCACCGGACCCTAGCGTGGAAGCCCTCTAGCCTCGCCTCCTACTACGGCATCGGCGCGCCGGTGCCCCGTTGAAGTCGGCGGAGGAGGCCACACCGGGATACGATGCATGTTACAAATGAACAATTCAAAATGTTTCAGAAGTTTGAGAGGTATGTTGCAAGCGTTGTATATTGATGTTGCAAAAGTAGATCGGGATGCTGTACATGTTGTAATGACTATACACGTATGTTTCAAGTGTATATCCCGAATGTTTCATCTACTCCAGATGAATGTTGCAAGCGGTTTATCTGGATGTTGCAAAAGTGGATCTGGATGTTGCATATGCATGCATGTTGCAACCATATGTTTCAAGTGTTTTCAGGTGTTTCATGCGTATGTTTGCAAGTGTTTTATCTGGATGTTGCATATGTTTGCAAAGGTTTTCAAATGTCTTTTCGGGTGTTTTCGCAAATGTTTCAGACGCTTGTTTCAAGTGTTTCATCTGTCTTTTCTTGTATGTTGCAACTGTTGCATCTGGGTGTTTCAGAAGTATATTGGGTGTTGCACATGGATGCGCATGGGACACAGCTGGCGGCGTGGACGATGTTCGGGGCGACGTGGGCGGCATCTAGAGCGGCACGGGCCTACTAGTAGTGTGCTCGCCCGCTAGCCCGACGCGCTAGGCGCTTCACGCGCTCCCTGTGCGAGCAGCGTTTCTGTTGGAAAATAGGGTTTCCAACAGGTGGGATATGATGGGTCCTTCGCCCAGCTATGTGCCCTGAGTGAAGGCTGAGAAGATGATAGGATGGACCAGGCTCAATTAGGGTTTCATAAATGGAGTCACCAACCTCCTTTACACAGGGCTCAAGTCCCCCTTTTATAGTACACTGTTAGTCACTATCCTAGTTTACATTTCTGCCCCTTGACAGCTGAAGCACATTCCAGGAATATCCCCTTGCTAGCGTAAACTACTAGGGGTGATCTAGGTATTTTTCATCTTGAACCGCCTCCGCTTGTTGGGCTACGCCTACGGGCTTTGCAGGCGGCCCACGGCCCAGCATCGTATTCCCTTGTGAACCTCCTCCTTCCTGGCGGAGGCCTAAGCGAGCCTTTTGTGATCTTCACTCGGGAAGCCTTCGCTTGAGTCCCCATCTTGTTTCTTGAGCCATCGCCTTCGCTGATACCACAGGAGCCTTCGCCTCGGGCTAACCTGGCAAGCCTTCGCTGTGGTGCTTTGACCTTCATCGGGAAGAGCCACGGGTGCGAAGGCCCTTGGTTCTCTTCCCTGCACATCACTCCAGCAATTGGTTAATGTTAGTTCCTAGTGCTGTAATGCGCCTTGACCTCCGCGGCTCATATTCACTCCCCAACAGTTCCCCCCGTTGAGGACATGGTCTAATGCAGGCGGGCCTTGTTCCTCAATTTCGTTTTGAGGTTGTTGAGCTGCAGAGGCTTATGCGTGAGCGGAGGCTTCCCCCTGGGACACGCTGCGTCAGACCTATCCCTTTTGACATGCTCTCTTCTGATTGGTTGCGATGGCTCTGGAACCGATGCGCTGAGGAACGGATATGACCGTTGGGCGTGGAAGTTGAAGCGTCAGTTCGTTGGCTATATAAGGGGGGGGGGTAGGTGAAGGCTTCCCCATCCCCATTTGAGCCATCGCTTTCACTATCGTTGCTTTCTGAGTTCTTTCTTTTTCCTTAGTCTTCGCTTAGTTGGCCCTTGCCTTCGCTTCCTTTTGCTATTCCTAAGTCTTGGAAGTGGCTTCGCCTATTAGTCCTCCCCGCCGAGCTACTTTCTTTGGTCCATATCACCGTCTTCTCGGCATCAGGGCGAGTAGGTGATCTACGTTTTGAGGAGTGTTTGGTTGCCATTGCGGAGGCACAAGGGCTTGAGGAAGATCTTTCTGGTGTTGAAGCCTCCGTTGCCGACTTGATAACTGCTGAGGAGGCAGGAGACATGGCTGGCCCATCCAGGACATGGGATTTTGGGCCTTCGCTCATGATGGAGGACATGATCGAGGAGTTCTGGAAATTGGGCTGTTTCAGTGATGCTAAGGTGAAGCCTCACAAGGAGAGACGATTCCTAAGCTGCAAGCTGCTGATGCCATGGTCTTCAAGGATTTTTCCTTTGCGGCCTTCACTTTCCTACGGCTCATTTTGTCTGTCAAGTTCTTGAAGCATTTGAGGTACAACTGCATCACCTTACCCCCAATGGTATTGTTACTTTGAACAAGTTCTGTTGGGCCTGTTTGTCTTATGGTGTGGAGCCCAATATTGGCACCTTCTGCGAGTACTATGAGCTCCAGCGTTAGCCTAAGTGGGTGGGTGAAGACCAGTTGGTAGCCCAGTATGGGAGCTGCGCTTTCATGCCAAAGAGGAATCAGAAGGGCGAGAAGTTGGAAATTTCTTTTGCCCAGAAGAACAAGTGGTCAAAGGATTGGATGCAATATTGGTTTTATGTGAGGACTGGCGGTCTGACCTCCACTGGTGAAGATGGGAGGAAGAATACTCAGTATCCGTTGGCTTCCGTGATGACTCCTATGAAGCCTTCGACATAAGGTATTCTAGGGCCGGGGACTACTAAGGGTCGCGAAGTCTGCGATAAGGCTTTTGCTTTGGCCTACCGATACTCTGGAGGTTAGGATCTAGTGGAGGAGATGGTGGCGGTGAACTGCTGGCCGCTTGGCGGGGAAAATGCCTACCATGACTATTGAGATGGTACAGCTTTTGGTCTTCGGCGAAGGTGTCGGGGTTCCCTTTCCCCGTTTTGGTTTCCTGCGGAAGGAGGGTAGAGTTACTGAGAAGTTTGTGAAGTTTGTTGAGGCGGGGGTGCATGAGATACTCGGTGAGATGTTAGACAAGGAGTACCTGGCACACAGAGCCATCGCCGGTATGATGCCCCGCCTCAACAGGGTTTTTGAAGTGTTTGGGATCCATCATGAGGAACATGATGTGCCTACGAAGGTGCATAAGTCCCTTGAAGATAAGGCGAAGAAGGCCACCGCCAAGAACACAACTACTATGGCTGAGGTGAAGAAAAGAAAGGGGGCTGGCGTGTCTAAGGTTGTTAGCGAGAAGCAGAAGACCGTGACCGCCTCTATTGCTGCCTTCACTACTGGCTCCACTAGTGTTGATGAGAAGGTTGCGGGGAACATTGGTGGAGGCTCGGCTTCTGTGGGTGCTGGGATGAACGGCGAGCATTCTGCCACCTCTACCGATCTTAGCGGTGACACCTTTGTTGAAGCCACGCTCCAAGGAATGGGTGGTGGTGCTACTGCTGAAGCTTCCACCATGGCGCCTATGCCCGGTGTCTTAGGTGATGATTCGTCCAGTTCTAAGAGCTAGGATGGTGATGGTGGTGATGCCTCCTCCTCGAAAGATGCTAAAGTTGGGAGTGCGGGCCACCGCCCTATGAAGGCTCCTCTAGTTGAGGTGTCTGAAGATGAATTGGAGCATGGGTCTCCTCCGGCGCGACCTTCGAACCCGACGCCCCTAGTTGGTTCTCGCCAGGAGGAGAACATAGAGATGGATGTGGCACAATGCACTTTTTTTGAGTAAGTGTTCTCTAGCTTTTACTCCCTTTTCTCTATGTTTAGTTTTGTGCTTGTGCTTAAGCTTCTGTTGTTTTAGGTTTGTTAGGTGACCTGGCCAAGGCTATGGCGACTCCCGTGCCTGGGGAGATGCCTCTGGTAGCTGGGCTGGACCTTGCCCAGGTCGGATTGGGTGCCGTTTCCAGGGCGCCTTTGTTGGTGGGGGGAGCAGAACCTTCGAACCGTGGCCAAGCCAGCGGCGAAGGTCTGATCATTTTTAATCCCTGACTTGTCTTTGTTGTGTTTGCTCGTTGTTGCTTATACTTGTTTCTTGGTTTCTTTCTAGGAAGCTCTGCTGATACACTAAGTGGGTGGGCTGAGTACCTCCATGCTCTCTGCACGGAGATAGGAGGTTAATTGTGAACTTCGCTTTTTAATCCGTATTTTTGACTTACGTTGCTTATGCTTTTGTTTTCTTGATAGGCCGGGCTCGTCACCATTTTAGGAATGTAAACTTCTACCAACTGCAATGATACAACCTGGAGCATTAATGCTTGGTGGGTTGTTTTGTTTTCTGACTTAGGTACCCTTCGGCTTTGCCGTACTGATGGTTTCCTTGGTAGGGCCATCATATGGCGGAGGCTCTGGAAGAGCGGGCATCAAAGGAAGTTATCGACCGTGATGGCGCCATTGAGGCTTTGAAGAAGGAGGTGGAGTTGCTTGAGGTTGAGAGAGTGCGGCTTGTAGGAGAAGTTGAAAACCTCCACGTGGCTCAGAGCGATTTTGAGAACTTGAGGGTCGAAATGTCCTCTTTGAGCAAGGCGCTAGAGGGCTCGAAGGCCACGGAGCAATTAGCTCTTGATCAGGCCGAGAAGGCCAATGAGACTGCTGACCTCCTTTGCAAGGAGGCAGAGGCTGAGAGGCAGTCTAGTGTTGCTCTTGGGGCTCAAGTTACCCTCCTAACCAAGCGTCTAGAGGATGCAAGTGCAGTTGGCCTGGCCGTGGCCCCGTTATACACAGATGCGCTTGGTCAGTTTGGGGGCACCACTTCTTTGCCCAAGGAGCCTTCGGTGCTTAGCCTTTTTACTTGGCTAAAATCCAATTTGGCCAAGCTCCCTGATTTTGTTGGTGGGGCAGTCGACTTTGGAGCGTTGGCCTCCGCTACCAATTTCTCTAATATGCTGATGCAAGACGGCTGCTTGCACGTCGAAGGCTTGAAAGAGAAGGATGATGTTGAGAGCCTGGCCAAGCTTGGAGTGACTTCCTGAGGTGTTAGAAGATCTATCCGTAATTTTATGAAGTCATTTTGGGTGAGGTTTGGCCGGACGAAGGCTCGTTCAATGGTGGAGGCACGGCGTGCGGTGGTTGGTTTCTTTCTTTTGGCTACTTTTTGACATGATTGTTTGGTACATTTCTGCATTTGTTTGTTTTCGTGTGCTTATGAATTCTATGCTAACTGCAGGAGTTACAAAAATCGGAGGTTGTACGTACTACCTCTGGAGCACCGAGTTCCAGGGCTAGTGAGGCATCGACCCCAAAAGCTCCATCGGGTGGTGCTGAGGCCGTGAAGACGGGGGAGACTGCCTCCGCTGCTGCTAATATGGAGGTGTAGTGTCTAGGTTTTAGCTAGTTTTTTTAGGTTTGGTCTATGGTGAAGTGTTGTAGACGCTCACCCTTTGTGTATACTGTGCCTTTTGTTATTTTATTGGTGCCTTCGCCCATTAAGTTTTTAATTGTAAATTTTCCCTGCGTAGGTTTCCTCCTTTGGGCCTGTGCAGGACGTGCAACCTTTGACCTTTTTCCAAGATGGTATTTATATTAGTGGTGAACTGTGGGAATATTAGCATCAAAGTTTCCCTAGACCTTCTGTTGTCGAGATGTTTGCCTTCGTAGCGTACGATATTGATGACGAACGCGCTGAGTTTACTAGGTCGGTAGCTTGGCGAGGACCTCGACCACCGGTTTAGCTTTAAACTTATGCAAAATTGTTTGGTTGGCCTTCGCGCCTTTTGTAATGTTTGCTTTCAAAGCTCAACGCCTTTTGTGTTTTGCCTTGTTATTTGCCTTCAGGCTTTTTGTAAGATTGCGTTTGTGTTTGTATGATTTGCGCTTATAATGCGCTCTGTTGTAATATGTTTGTTTTCTTTGAATAAAGTTTGCTTGGAATGCTTGGTTGGATACTTGTTTCATTGAAGAATCTGGTTACAATTGCTACCTAGGCCGAACGGTTCTAGCAGATGGTGCTTATTTTCTTTTTTTACCTCTGCTTCTCTCTTCTTTGGTTCCCGTTGGAGATGAGCTTGCGCATCCATGTGGAAGAGCTGAGGCGCTAGTCTTGGAACTTGTGTCCTACACGGAGGCTCCGTTACATACTTGATTTATTGTGGCCCCTGCTTTTTGGTCTCTAGCTGTCGACAGGGAGGTTCTAGCGCATCGCTGCGGAGAAGCTGAGGTGCTCGTATTTGATCTTGTGTTGTTGCGAAGGCTTTGGCACAATTTGAGCACTCATCAGATGTGTTGGTCTTCAATCTTGATGCTTCTCCATAGGCCACAGTGCAATTGGAGCAAGCAACGGAGGTTGATGAAGCATTTCTTGGGCGTTGCCTTCTTTTGCGCCTAGATTGCTCTGTTGTTGCCTTCAGCCATGCTGGAGCAGCTGCGCTCCCATTGAACATGGTTGATTCTAGGCTGTGTTAGACGATATCTTCTGTTGTAGGGGGATGTTACGAGTCTTCGTGCGATACCCTCCCACAACCTCTGATACTTACTGTTTGCCGCCAGACTATGGTTATGCAACACCCCGTGGAGGCTCCCGAGTATACGCTGGGCTGCGCGAGCTGCTGTAATTATGAGTCTTCGCACGGTATCTTTTGGTTCTGTCGTCTCTGAGGAAACTCCGGCCTCCATGACTCTCTTGCCTTGTTCTATTGAGTGGTGGGTCTTGGTTGCCTTAACTCCCCCAGCGCTCTCTAGAGTTAGTGATATGGTGATGCACTGACTGAGGCTAGAGCGGGGGGGGGGGCTCTGGGTTTTATAGCCTAATACTTGTACAATTTAATAAATTTTGGTGGTTGGCCAAGATTTATTTCTTAGATATGTTTTAGAGCTATATGGGATATATAGATTTCTTCATACTTGGTGTATCTTTGGTTCTTTAGTTCTATTGTACTTCAGTTATTAATTCCTGATTATTACCTGGTGCCTAATATGGACAGGTCTTCGCCAGGCATTTTTCGCACCCGATGCCTACAACGAGGGTAGGTCTTTGTTGGGCTTTGTGGCCTTTTGGCCATTTTTTATGGATCCTTGATGCCTGATTGTGGACAGGGTGTTGGTATAAATTAATACACACAGAATAACCCGCAAGCGCATGGATATTATACTGATGTAGCACTTCACCGGGAGTACCCAGTTTTATATCGATCTCAAGGAAACGTGTGTGGGAATAACCAAATCTAACTTAACCTAACTTCACAATCAAGGCTAGATAAAAGGAGCATAGAGGAGATTGCTAAGGGCTTCTAGTTCTAACTTCGGTAAGTTTTGTCTTCGATTGTTGAATTCTGGGGATATTACTAGAGAAAACACAGACAGAGTATGTTTCCTATAGTAACAAGGTCCTGCTAGGCCTACTAACGGGAGGTGAGCTACAAAGGATTCAACGAGGCTATAAAAGTCACCCTCGCGAGCTACCACCGATCTAGAAAATAGGGTACATCCATGAGTAATCGAGTCTAAGCACCACGCTTACACTACGAATACTACTTTAACCTAGGAGCTACAAGGATTAAAGTACTCAAAAGAGAGTCACAAACCTGAAGAATAATATGAACAAGATGCTTACTTAAATTAGAAGTCGATTACCTGAGAAATCTCAGAAGCAAGCTCAAGAAGAACTTGATTTCACCAGGGTACAAGCCATAGAGAGAGCATCGATAGGCCAGAACTCCTCCAAACTCCTCCCTCTCACTCTATCTCTCTATCTCTAATACAAGACTTGATCCTATCAAGGACTAATCTTCTCTTGATTGTTAGCTCTGATCCTGATGGAAATATGGATTAGGGTTTTTGACTTTTTAGCTCTCAGGATCTAACTTGGCATGCCCTGGAAGGGGGTGCAGGCAGGTATATATAGGCCAGAGCGTCAATCCTGAGCCCTCGGATCAAACCGACTTGAATAAACGGTGGAGATGCAATCCTTAAAACGGTGGAGAACCGACATAGCAACATGGGGCTGACATGGGGGCCCCATAGGCCGGCCGGCCCCATTTGTCAGTGGCTCGGGCTCTGCTTTGGTGATTTGCCTTCTAGAGTCTTGCCACGCTGTTTACGCAACAGAATTTCGTGATTTCCTTTGACGAATAGGTCCTCCTTGGCGGTTTCTGATTAAATCCTACTGGAAACACAGATTCACAAAAACTCATGGAATTTGTCAGTTTAAACCCCTAAGTCTACATTGGTGATCCATTTTAGCCATTTATGTAAGTTATATTAACGGTTTATGATGAATGTTAACTACCGTCAACAAGCTCCCCCACACTTAGGCTTTTACTCATCCTCGATAAAAGGATGGATTACTCAAGACATAACCTTAGGACAAGTCATCAACATAAAACCATTCCCAATCATACATGCATTGTGGGATTCAAAGTGTTTACCGTGGAACTTTGGGCGGTTAAAGAATGGAATAGCTTGAAATAGATCACCATCTTCCTTCAGTCAAGTCAATTGGAGAAACATTTTAAGATTTTTTTGAAAACAAAACATAGCTTACCTTCTCCTTTTGTAGCACTCTCAAATCACTCTGCATATGTAGTATTTTTGGATCCTCACCAAGGTATTGATAACTTTGCCTTCTTTTTGCCTGCTTCTAAAAAGCTTATGTGGAGCTTAGGTAGGGATAAATATGAAAACATACTTGCATTGTATATATTGTAAAGTCAAAACAAGAATCCAAGGAGAAAAATGTCATACTCTTAGATCAAGATGTGCATGTGTGTGGATATGTATATGTAGCTATCCTAATTCTACTATGCTCATTGAAACATATTTCTCTTGTTTGAAAATTTGAAAATCCTTTGCAAGAAAACATGGGCTATCTTATTCATCTCTTTTTTTAGGTGGGCATCTGAGTACCCATTGTTTTAGATATCTTGAACACTTGTCCACTTTTTCAATACTTTTTGTTCTCTTCTTTTTTTTAATGAATAACTTTTGCATAGCCCATGCCTCTTTTTCTGCAATTGAAACTTTTTAAGAGAGACATTTACAAGAACTTGGAGCATTTATCCTAACAATCATATTTTTGTGTCTATTCCCAATAAAGGAGTAGAACTATTGGTGTTTCGAGTTGCCATCGACTAGTAAATTTCTAATATTGCGCATCTGGCTCGGATGGTGTGCTAAGAGGACACGAGGTTTATACTGGTTCGGGCAGAATGTCCCTATGTCCAGTTCGTTGCTGCTACTCGTGTTACAAGCACTGAAAGTTCATAGTAGGGGTTACAAACGGTCGAGAGAGGGATAGATCCCAAGTCTCTGGTGAGAGGAGTGAACTGGTGCTGAGAGCTCGGTCACTTCCCGGCTGTGTGCTTGTGTGTTCTGGTCGGTTCGGGGTTCGATGGATTTGAGTCCTAATTGATGCGATGTATTGCGATGCCCTTTATGGGACGCCCTGCTTTTCCTTTTATAGGCCAAGAGAAAGCACGGGTTATAGTAGAGGGAAAAGAGGAGGATGAGAAGGAGAAGAAGTCCTCTAGGATCGCCGGGTCCTTCTTTTCCTTCATGTGGGTCCCGCTGACCCTGTAGACATCAACAAGGATAGCTCCATGTCATGGCCCTATCTGTCATTGGCACCATGCGCAGATGTCGTCTCCCGGTCATGGCGCTCCACTCCATCCTGGAGGACATCGTGGTGAACTGACGCGCCTGTTAGTGCTCATACGAGGGTTAGGCAAAATAGCACCAGTACGCCCGACATTGTTCCTGATGTGAATCTGCAGGTATGGCCCATCATGGCCACATGTTATATCGAGGCGTGTCGGTCACCTCCCTATTGTCAGAGCTTTGACCCAGGCCCATTTGCTTGGACCTAGAGTGGTTGGCGGTGGTATGGGTCTTCGTCGGGCGAGACGGATCTCCCGGCCTCAGGGTAGGACGAGGCAGAGTCCCCCCTAGAGGCAGAGCCCGCCCCCAGAGACTGGGCGAGGCGGAGCCTGCCCCTAGAGGTTGGGCGAGGCGGAGCCAGCCCTTAGAGGTTGGGCAAGGT